AAAAAAAAATGCTTCTTAAACTCTTTGAAAACCCTGTACTGGAATAGTTTAGTTGTCGAGTTCATTACCAGAGGTTTAGCAAATAAACCAAAAAGAAATGTAACACTTAAACGTAGGTTGTTTCGCGGGACTTACCGTCAGCATTCTTGATACTACTGAATTGTGACGAAAAACATACAATGAACGTAAATTGATGCTTTCCCTTACGACTACGAAAAGAGTATTTTAGGCAGAGTTCCGAATGAAAATAAAGCAACAGGTTTTATATTTAAACTGTCAACAATAGAGCACACAAACAGTGTCCTGCATTATTGTCTTTAGGTTTTCCAGTAAATTTATTGAGAACATAGCGGACGACGTTTGACTTTATTAACCGGTACTTGAAAACTTTTGGTATAGTTCCAAAACGACTTGAAAAAATGAATTCGCCTATGGATGAGTCAGTCAGTTCGCCGGTTGTACGGACGATTCTTCACCCTTTCACTCTTGCAACGGTAATATTTTGGTTGATAGAACTGGAATGAAGTGCTCTACCCCTCTCTTCCTTGCTCGCTTTTCATTCTCCAACGTTTCACAAACACTTCTGCGCTCGTTCAATCGTCAGAATTTTCTGTCCTGTTGTGTTTCTTTTTTTATTCTATTTCAAAACTATTTACAGATATATTTTTGTTGCTGTTATTTCACTTTCTTTTATCTTGAAATATTTTTTGAGGTCCGGTTCTACATTGCTTATAAAAAATATTTCTTTTTTTTCTTCTTCTAAATCCAATGCCGCAGTTAAGGTATGATTCATGTAATTTTAGAATTTGTATAGACGACAAACGTTTGTTTAAACAGCTGCGAATGCCGCTCAATTAGTTCGTGGTAAATCTATACAACGTTTGTTTGAAAATTACTATCAACTGTTCTACATGATTTTCTTTCATATTTTTTGATTATTTTCAATACCAAATATTTAATTTTTCTCAATATTGCTGAAACATTGAAATAGGAAATTTAAAGTCGTTTTTACAGAATGATTTCGATACGGATTTTAATTTCGTTTCTCCAACGAAGTGCTATTTGACAAAGTCAAACCAGCCCTCTCTTATTACCTGTTGTGCTACTTTTCTAAATAAATTGAAACTGAGATAAATTCAGATAAGTCAAGACTTTTCAAGAAGACCTAAGAGTTTATCACAGAGTGCATATGAAATGAATCGGATAAGCAGATCAAAAAGTTATTGGACTGTAAGCTAAAAAAGTTTCATCTTTTTTTTATTTTAATCACTAGTTCATTTTTGCGAGAGCAGCAACTGTGATTTTTGGTTTTTATGTGAATCAATCAAATTCTTTGCGCAGAATCTCATTTTCTATTTTCTGTCAAATGCAAATATGCGTTTATTTCAAATGCGGTTTTTTA